TCTATCTATCTATCTATCTATCTATCTATATATCTATCTATCTATCTATCTATCTATCTATCTATCTATCTATCTATCTACCTATCTATTCATAAATCGATCGATCTATGGGTCTATCTGTTACTGTAACTTTCACTACACACATTAATTGATAAATCCCTGTTTGCTGATTTATTAGAAATACCATTAGAATAGTCCGCACATTCGAAGGCGCATGCAATATTGCTTCCATTGGAAATTTTCATCTTATGTTGTGAGGCCCGAAGATTAATTGAAAAAGCACCTGAGTATGCTTGTTGTATCACAGATGATCTATTATTTCTTGAAATATCTTTTCCAGATTACAATTACACTGACAACGATATACATCTCTTTTCCCGAAATAAATAACATTTTTCCCATAAGCCAGTTGAAATCTGCAAAAGCAATGTCAACTTAGGATGCTGTTTTCTCATTGGACAAATTTATCCACCAATCAGCGTTCAGTTTTGAAGTCCATAATCGTTCCTATTCGTTTGATTACTGTAAAGTGCGATGATTTCGACAACTGCCACCTCGAACAACCGCATTTGTGTGTGTGTGTGTGGATGGGTGGGTGTTATCCAGTGAGTTTATGTGAGTGACAACCGAGTTCAGTTCCGGTAGAAGTGCATTGGTCCTATCCCCATCCGCATTGGATATTACTGCGAATAGCTTTACAGTTCTCGTGCAAATTGATGCCGTCCGTGGACTATGTTTGACGCTGCACTATGGATCGAGTATAATCACTCGTGTCAAGCCGTTCCCACCGAGTCCAAGTGTACGGAAAATGAGATCTGGTTCAGTGTCCCGATACTCACATTTTCTCTTCTCGCTCTGGTGCTAAATATTATCTGTACTGTAGTATTTCTCCGTCCCAAACGCCGATCCCTAATGCGCCTTAGTCTCCTCTTGCTATCCACTAGCGAAGTCATATTTCACACGTTTATTTCACTGGATTACTCGAATCGATTATTTGTTTGCTCAAACGACAATTCATCGCACACAGTGTCCCCGTTGCGTCGAATCCTGGTCGCTGGGATCAATTTGGGCGCGGACACATTGTTATGCAGTCGAAATTGGTGCAATGTACTAATCACAGCTGCGAGAACGGAAGTTGTGATTAGCCCGATTCGATCGCGTCGCATCTTCACCAGACGCTCTATTGTTTTCATGTATTTTGGTGTGCTGACTGTGGCCATTCTGCTCTCGCTTGTACGCAGTTTCTACGATTACATTGTGTTGTGTTTACCGGAACCGTCCCCGGATCGAGGCACATCAGACCGAATGAATGTGTTATTGTACAGTCCACATCTAGTGCTTCCATTGCTGAGTAACGATGTGATTTCCAGCTTTGAGGCCTATTGTTTTTTCATCTTTCAAGTTATACTTCCGGTTATGCTTGTTCTAACCATGTCCATTACCATAGCGTACTATATGTCCCCGTGGAAACATTCCCAAATTCTGGAGGTCAGTATGGTACGTCGAAGACATCAAATGAACGCAACACGCACAATCCTGTTATTGGCGACCACATTTCTCTGTTTTGAGATGCCCAGTTTCATCCTAGTTCTGTTGCAACATTACACTCGCCTTGTGAGCAGCGAGGAATCCCGATTTCGTTACCGAGTAGCTCAGTTGGCTGCTGACTTGTTACTGACCAGTGATTCCATTGCAAACATCATGATCTACGGGTTCAAGTTGCCAGAATTTCGTCGGCATTTGGCACGATGTTTGTGTATATCACCACCGACAACGGAACAATCGATGCTGGAACATGATTACTCGCGGACCAATATGAGTATGTTTCGTCGGCTGGGTAGTGTGACCAAATCCAATCATCAGAACTCCTTGCCGTCAGTGCGTGCGAATGAATCACATCGGAGCCATCATGCACACGCACAATCGAAACAACTGCTCCCCCTCGGTGAGACAGTTTGCGCACCCGTGAGCAACGAGAAGATACATAGTGCATAGGATGTGTTTGGGGCGGGTTGGACTGAAATGTAAGTGTGTGTGTGTGTGTGTGTGTGTGAGTGCGTGCGTGCGTGGGCACATGGACTCGCTAGGCAAGTGATTATTGATTTTTCTCTCCCATACATCTCTGTCTCACACACACACACACACACACACACACACACACGGAAATGCATCAAACTATATTACATTCATTACGCTACTGCCATTCACCAACACCCCAGGATCTCCCTCAATTTTTAACGGGGATTTCTTCTACGATTTGTGGAACAATTCAGATTTTATTACACAAATACTCATATTCATACTTTAACTCATATTTATTGGTGCATAGTGGTTTCAGGGTAGGTGATACTTGTTTGGAATTTGGTTGCGGTCATTTGAATGCTGCACGTCTCCATACCGTGTCCCTAGTCAGGTCGGAAGCATCTACAAAATATGGATGCAGTTGGGAGATGAAGTGCTGAAACGTGGAATTCCGCTCAGTCCTTGAATGAGTTTGTCTGTATGTTACAGACAGATCGGCCAAGTTAGGAGTACAGGGTTCGAATCCCTGACAGGTCCGCATATCTGCAGGAAGGTGATATGCAAATAGTCCATCCAAAATGAATGCATTTTGATTTGTTTTGTGAAACTAAATAGCTCGTGATGCTGTTTTAGTTAGATTTTGGTGTTAACTGGAAGTCACTTTCATGGAAGAAACGCCGTCACAGCGGAAGATTTCCTCAGGGTCAATAAGTTTGTTCGACGTGCGTGATGCAGTTTTTTTTAATTTTTCTTCAGTATAGATCCGAAAAATCGAATTTTGTCCATTTCTGTGTGTCAGAAGCCAATATCAGTTTTCATTCAATTGACTAAACTCGGTAAAATCAGTATAACTATCGCTATTCAATCCTTTTGTCAGATTTTTATAATGTGCTTAAATGTATCTATAGCTAAATGGAACCATAAACAGTATGCATTTAATCGAAATCACGTGATCCGTCTGGATCTGCCGCCTTAAATTGTTTCATCGATTATATCTTGTCCGGTTCCGGGTATTTATATGTGGAACGCGCGCAAACATTCACTTTAATTATTCCAAGACGAACGATAAAACTATGGGAGGTGACAGGGACATTGATAACTAGAACCTTTCCCATCAAACCATCGATGGATCTGACAAATATAGTTGCACGAAATTTCCCCGACAAAAGTCCACAATAATGACAATGCATGAGTGGAAGAAAATCGGTTCGGACTAGGACGTTCTGTGTGTTTTCTTTAGTACAATGAAAGCGTGATTTACAATTTAAAAAAGTAGATAACCCGGTAATAACCACAAAGGGATGACAAAGGGATCTGAACATAGTCATGTATAGCGTAAAATTTACTCAGTTGCACTCATGTTATATCCAAGGAGAAAAACGGACCGAACACAATTTTACACTAGCAAGCTTGGATTAACCCATTCAGAGGCACTAGGCACTCTTGATTATCTTGGGCGTGGGTTTAACTCTCTGAGAGATCGTTAATTCCCCACAAGTTCATGCATCTACATGCGATGGAAATGTTTCAGATAACCGATGTAGATCACCGGACAGCTGTTTCGTCGTGTTTCGGACTCGTCAGCAGTGCGTACTTTTTGTTTGTCTGTCAGGACTCGAACCACGAACAGTCCGGTCAGAACTTCAAACCCTTAACCCTGAGGTGCACGGTCAATCAATCAATGTTACGGTAGCAAGCTTGGATTAGCCCATTTGATTGTTCAGTGGTACTAGGAACTATTGATTTTATTGGATGTGGCTTTTATTCCAAAGATCAGTCTTTCACGAAATTGTGTTTTTTATGATGCGAACGGGTTTAACGGTCACCATCATCAGATGACCTTACAAAGCGAACAGGAATTTTTGAATTTCGGAAGAAACGTGGGAGTCGTGGCCAAAACAATTTAGCCGTGTGGTCCCATGTGGATAACACTGTTATACGAGTGACAAGGAGATGCAAACATATATGTATGAGCTACTGGTACAATTGTGAGATGTTAGATGATAGGACGGACTAGGAAGCCAGGGGAAAAGAGTAAAGTTAAATACCAGTTCATCACCCACGAGAAGAAATTCAAGTCCCTTACTAGACATGGCTACGTAAGTTTATATTACAATCTAGGGACCAAGTGGACAACTTTCCGAACTCAGGTGTTGGCGACGTTCAAAAATCGAGGAGATCACGGGGTGCTGATGAGGAAAACAGGAAACCAGATGGTGCTGTCCAACATGTGCGGTGTTTTCTACCCGGGAACATATATTTCATCTCACAACATATATATATATATATATAATTTCCTTGTAAGAATAATATCTTCATCCTTTTACCAGCTCTTATATCACTTGGGAACTAATAGGAAACGGTCACATTCACTGTACACTCCACGTATAGGGTGCGACTGAGTTACAGCTAAGACTAAATGGGCGGTTGTTGTTGTTGTTGGGCAAAGTCAACCACCAACAGACACCCCAACAAAACAATGATGAGAGTGAAATAAGCCCTAGTCATTTTGTCAAACCTACCGCCATGCAACGAACAGGCAAAACTAATGAGACCGGCAACGATAGACCCCATAACCGGAACCGGATCGCTTTGTAAATTCCAGCTGTACTCATGGATTTCATCCACACACCAAAAAAACGAACAATGCGGTAAAAAGTTTAAAAACCGATCACAAGAACTGTTTGGCTGACACTGAAGACAGGCTTTGATTCACATGAAATCATGACGACTAAGAGATTTGATAATTCACATGGTGACCTAGTGCCTATTTGACTGTGTAAAAGGCTGAAATTAGAATGTATCGATTTGTCTTTCCCAATAAAAAAACGATTTCTATTGGTTCAGACAAACTGGATTGAACTTGCTATATTGAATTCCGTTTCAAATTGGTATATGTAGTGAAATCCGACGTGTCTGAACAGATAAGCATCATTTAGCGCAGTTTTATGGTGCAAATAAACATCGTGAATTCCTAGATTATGTCATCAAAGGTGACACTGATTTGCGACAGTGAAAAAAACGGCGTCTACGAAAATTGGGATAGATACATGGGATTATCTTCCCTCTTCAGTGTTGTCTCGCATAAGAAATTTTTGGGGAACAATTTTTCAGCATATTTTTCAAATTAGTTGTCGTTCCTCCACCACACACTCCGCCGTCCCATGTCACAATGTTTCGTCTGTTCCGCTTGTGATTTGCGTGGTAGACATATCTCACATTTATTTGTTTTTTTTTTTTCAATGGCGCGCTGCAAAGCTGTAAACACACACACACACACACGGGGGTATGAGAAAATCCGGATCCTGTCTGAATATCATCACCCAACCTGGTTTGCACAAGGACGGCGTATTCATATATAAACTGGGTAAAACTATATTTTTGGCGTATTGTTATCTCCTTGTGATTACCAATGACCGATACGTAGCTGTTCCTCCTCAGTAACCTTTCCCCCCCCTCCTGGTGGGTCCTTTGATGAATGGAAGAATGGGTAACCCGGAAAATTCTAAAAAAAAAAAACAACTATTCAGCAGATTGTTAATCGTGAGAAATGACAACTGAAGCTCCATTAACTATTTACGAGCGACTACAACCCCAGATTACGGGAAGGGGAGGCAGGTTTAGAACACAGTGCCTCCAATTTGTTATTTTAATGATATTTCTACCTGATAACCGCCAGCCGAGGACAACAATGCGTAACAGACCACCTAGTTTTCAAATAATTTGTGTAAACTATCCCATTTCACCTGTGTCGCTGAACTTGACTCTTTAATCACACACAATTCATAAACAGCTGAGATGACATCGTCAGTGCTTGCTAAGTGGCGTGTAACCATTCGTTTCTATATATGGTCTTCACTTGTTTCCTCTATCTTTCTTCGCGGTTCACTCTCGAACCGGTGCGAGGGGGTGATGGTAAGCGATTGTTCTTCTTTCTTACATATAGTGTCCTGTCCGTTCTCAGATCACGAGTTTGACCCGCTGTTGCGTCATTTGATCCTTGAGTTGTATTAGCATATGCACGTGATCCCGTTCGATGTGTCTGCTTATTGGGTTGATTGAAGATTGCAACGACTCGAGAAATTCTCTGGCGTGTTTTCAACGAGTTTGCACCATAATTTTGCCAATTCAAAGTTGATTTGATGTCCTCCTTTTTGTTCGTGGAATGAAAA